ACTTTAAATACCAGTGCTTGGAATTCCAATGCTTTGAATCTTGATACCTTGACTATCGATACTTCGAATACCAGTGCTTAAAATTCCAATGCATTGAACACCAATACTTCAAATATCAATATTTCGAATACCACTACTCGAGTACCAATCCTCCTTCAATACTGTTCCTCCCATAATCGAGCACGAGCGTGGATCCTCCGTGGGATTAACTTTAGCGATGACAATTTATAAATTCCACGAAGGCACGGGTACTCGCTAAATCTGTCGACCGCGAGGAAGATTAAACGCGCGGAATAATACATTAAACTCGACGGTGTCTCTGTTCTTCGGTAAGAAAGCGCGCCGCTGCGTGTTCGACGTTGATGCATGGTGGCTTAAAACTTGGACCATCTGTTTCTGAGATCGCGCGACTCGAGTGCAAGCCTTCGATTGCGCGTCAAGTAAAGAAAAGGAGAAGACGTCATTCTCAACGCGGTCGCGACAAATCGAGGGGCGAGGAAGCGCGCATGGGATGATTTAAAATGTCCTCGTTGGGGAAAGAGACTCGGGACTAGACTGGATGCGCGATACAACTGGGACGAGTCGGTGAATTATTCCCGCTTCCGCCACCGTAACTTACGACTCCATTTACATGTTGACTGCCAGAACCATTTCATAAATTTCACTTGGACGTTAGGTTGGAATTCTTTAGCGTTTGCACTTGCAAATAAGTAATCGAGACCTAACCGTGTTACTTCGATAGGAAACTCTGCAAATACTTCAGACATTTATTACTTTATTAATAGTGAAGTTGATGTTTCAGACAGGTGATCATTTATGGAATCATAAGTAGCTCGGATTTATTTCAATTTCTTCGTAGATGATACCAAGTACTTAAAATTTCAATATTTTGAACACCAGTGCTTTGAATACCAGTACTTTCAATGTCGAAGCTTTCTATACCAACACTTTCAATGTCAATACTTTGAATATTAATACTTTCAATGTCGATACTTTAAACACCAGAGCTTTGAATACCAGTACTTTCATAGACGATGCTTTGAACAACAGTGCTTTGAATATCAATACTTTCAATGTCGAAGCTTTTGATACCAACAGTTTGAATATCAATACTTTTAATGTCAATGCTTTGAACACCAGTGCTTTGAACACCAGTGCTTTGAACACCAGTGCTTTGAACATCAATACTTTCAGTGTCGATGCTCTGAACACCAATGGCTGGAATACCAATATTAATACTCACCAGTATCCAAGTACCAGTGACTCAACTCGGGCAGTCAACGTGCCAAAGAAGTATTGCAAATGCATCCATGAGTATCGTTTTCCTTCCGCAAAGATTGAGATTATAGGAAGACCTCTTTAAAGCATCCACCTTTATTCCGTACCATTCTCAGCTATCTCTAATCAAAATGAGACAGCGTGTCCCAGTTACGCGACTCGAATTGTACAAAGATCGTGGAAGACACGCTTCGATATTTTTAACGAAACTAAACATCGTGAGATAAACTGACGAATAATTTGCGCCGATAGGAATCTTAAAATATTCATTAACGGTTGCATGTATCCTCTTTTCCTCTCTTTAATTAACCACAGAGGATAAATTGGTCAGTCTCTCATTGGACGAAATAGTGAAATAAGAGTAAATTAAGGGTTGCGAGTCGCAGTGGTCCCTGGAGGGAGTGGAAAGGAGCTTTCGAGTATCGATTGGACGTTCGAGGTGACTTTTTTCCTCTGTTTAGGTACGGATCTCGAAGCCACATTGGTTGAAGTATTCCCAGCGTACCTTTAGTTAAATATTAAGCAGTCGAAGGAGTAGGAGGCTCTTTACGATTTATTGACAGTCAATCAATTCTATCGAGGGAAGGTACAAATCCTAAAAGTATCCATTTCTCTCTTTTCGCATCGATAAATACATCATCAACGATGCGGTGTCAGGAATGAATGCGAAATTCAGAATCAAAAGTGTTTGGTCGGAAAACTCACAGAATCTTGTGTCACAGATCACACACACACACTTTATTCATTTTCATTCACTGTATTCGTGCACTTTATTCACAAAATTGTTCTAATTCAAACGTGTTCCTTTTTTCAGAATTCTACGAAGCTAGCCGTTTGGGAAAGCAACCAGGCAGTGGCACAGATCATCGCTAAGAAATCTCAGCCAGTGGTGCAGCGTTACAAAGTTCCAGTTTCTAGTGAATTCGATGCTCGAGTTAGACTACTGATTCCACCCAACGCTGATTTGAGTGGCGCCACGAAATACCCTATGCTAATTTTCGTGTAAGTACCAAGTTCAATTTTCTGTGAAGCAGAATCGTAGATTACGTAGATTAGAAATTCATATCAAAGCTACTTGCAAATAACCAGGTTCTATAATTGATATAAATGTAAAGTATTTCGATTTTTAATCTAGAAGTTCTCGTTAAAATTCTCAAATTCACATAAAAGAAAACATTTAATTTGTTCAATTGATTTAAATATTTAATATCTATACGGTTAAATAAATGAATGCTTGTTGCCGATATCGTTAAATTTTTATTTATCAATGTTATTCGCATAGCAGTTTCGTTAACGGTCATTAACGCCAAAAGTAAACAGGACGAAGTATAATTTTTGTCATTAAGTGGTCACGAAGACACAGTGTAGCGGCGTCAGCGTGAACTTTTAATTGGAAATCTCCCGATGATTAATAATACCGGATAATTAATCGCAAATACAGTGAAGTTATTAACTGCATGTCGCGCGGTGTATACATTATTCATTGTTCGTAATTAATCCCGCATTAGTCCCATCGAGTGATGAATGAGTAATTAAACGGAAATTTATTTACATGCCAATCGTGTAACTCGAACGTCACTTTTTCAATCATTTTGCTGCGAACTTCGGGATGAACTATGGACGCGAAATTATTTCCAGAAAGTTTACTCGTCGTCTGACATTAACATAAATATAGCTAAAGTCTGCGGAGTATTGCAACAATCGCGTTATAATGTAGCCTCGGTTGGCGCAGAAAATATAGGAATAACGGAAATTTATTCCCGCGGTCGTGGACCATAATTTAAACGATTTCAATGCAAATGAACGATCGTCCATCGTCGGGTACGAACAACAAAAAGGGAACCACCGCCTTCGGCTCTAATGACTTACACAATTCCTTATTTTCACCCTCGTCACTGCCGCGAACGTACACAATAGATCATAAACCGCTCTATTTATCGCAAATTATAAATATGTATACATTTCTATCGGAATCCCGATGATCGATACGTCTTTCCTGCTTTCGGTATCATTTATTTAACGTGCTGTATTGTTTCTTTAATGCATCAGGGTTTAAACACGATGATTACTATAAATTTGAAAAATTAGAGGTCAAAAATATTGCGCATCGAAAGCTTTGAAAACGAAGGATAACGAAAAGTTCATCTTGAACTTCCTTCGATGAGCTGTTTAATTGATCCCGACTTCTCCGTGGCCGTTCATTCTTTTATCCCGCGTTATTTTTCATACCCAAACTCAGGCAGGACCGTATGAATACGCTTTAATGTCTTCGGAGAACGGATACGAATTATTCGCCGAGGGGGAAAAAAAATAGAGAAACGAAGGAACGGCGGCGTCGCGCGTCAGGCGCAGCGTATCATTTATCAAAAACTTTTTTGCGACCTTCTATTCTATTAAAAGGTGTCGCCAAACGCCGGAAATATCGCTGCAAAATTCATTCGCCTCTATGTAAACGCGCCTCGTGAATTTTTATGGAACCGTCCCGGATTAATCTGAAAATGAAAATAGAAAATTCCTGCGGAAATATAATCATTCAATTTAGATAGGTCAGGTTATATACGCTCGAAAATTTTGATTGTTTACTACTCGAAAGGGTCGACACGATCACTGTTGTAAAGCACAGTGTGTAATTAGCGCCGTTACTGTTTATATCCGAACCATACAGCGAAAGGACGATTCGGGCGTACTCAGTTCGCTTCGTGTCGCCGTGAAGGACGGACCGGTAAGTGTGGCTGTGCATTAGGTTGGACCTGAACTCGTAAATTAATAGATATCTGCGTCGACTTGTCGAACTACCGTTTAACAACAACCATTTTCTGTTTAAGATACGGCGGTCCAGACACGTATCAGGTGACCGAGAAGTTCAACGTCGATTGGGGCACGTACCTCGTGACGAATAAGAGCATCATTTACGCGTCGATAGACGGAAGGGGATCCGGTTTAATGGACAACGGGATGCTGTTCGCTGGATATCGCAAACTGGGCACCGTCGAAATCGCCGATCAGATTAACGTCACCAGGTGAGCCTCGAACAAAACGAAGACGACACCCAGGTTTTGCATATTCCGTTACGGTTTTTGTTCTTTTGCCAGTTTCGAGTGCGGATGGAATTCTAATTATAGCGTTCTGTATACCGTCGGCATGCAAATTTCGTCCCAATTCGATGGGTCCCGCTGTAAGTTCGTCGGCCAAGTATTTTGATCGTTGAACACGGGTTGTAACTTTGTTATTCTGTCGACGACACGATGCAAACGAGTCGCAACTTCGTAAAACCGTTATGGGACTGCCATTAGAATATTTTGATCGCAGGATGCGGTTGTAATTCGCATTGTTCTCGGCCCTGCTGAATGCCGTGGGTTCTAAATGGGATTTAGAGTCGTGGGCTACCTACATAACATCGCTTCAGTTTGGTTGAGGCGTCTAGAGTTGATATTAGGCGGCTTAGGGTCTAAAGAAGATTTAAAAGGTCGCGTTAAAACTTATCGATACTACTTGGGAAGATAACTTCAGACTTAGGAATTAGGTTCACGTTGGTACTCCAAAGGTTTCTGATCTTCAGTGTCCAATATTTGATGCAGTCTTCATCTATTGGAATTCTTTCGACCAGGTTTTGAACATTACAATATTCTCATATATTTAAAGCTCTACTAGACCTAGAACTAGAAGTGGCCTACACCTAGAACGCAGAGGTGTTTAGAATTATTAATATTAGGTGGCTTAAGGTCTAAGGAAGATTTAAAAGGCAGGTCGCGTTAAAATTTGTTCGACCAGGTTTTGAACATTACAATATTCTCATATATTTAAAGCTCTACTAGACCTAGAACTAGAAGTGGCCTAAACCTAGAACGCAGAGGTGTTTAGAATTATTAATATTAGGTGGCTTAAGGTCTAAGATTGAAGATTGAAAAGGCAGGTCACGCTAAAATTGATTGATACTACTTGGAAAGATAACATCAGATTTCGGAATTAGGTTCGTGTTGGTATTCCAAAGATTCCTAATCTTCAATGTCCCATACTTGATGCAGCCTTCAGCTCTAAGAATTCTTTCGACCAGGTTTTGAACATTAAAATATTCTCATATATTTAAAGCACCTGGTGTCGTAAACCTAGGACGCAGTAGCTGAATATACTAAAAGCAATTAGTAGATAGACTTAGAGATCCAGGCTTCCAGTACTTTAACAACAGCAAATGACTTGGACACTTCCAATTAGAGGTTCAGCGTTGTTCGACAGTCCTACCTAAGTGCTCTAACCGTTCCCCAAGCAGAGCGTACCTTCGTCCTCCGGTTTCAAAATACCAAAGTCCCCCTTATAATCGCCTAGATCTGTTTCGAATCGCCAAAGTTTCGTTGCCAACCTTCTTCCCCTGATCGCGATCGATGTAACCTATTTTTCTCCGGCCCAAAGTCCTCCCTATTGTGGAGAATTCGCCTATTTGTCTGCTCCTGAGTTTCGGGCTCTCTCGTACCACGCCTAATTGGGAGCCATTCCGTAAGAACTCTCTGGAAGACTCGAAACCCGTAATCGCCACGGCTGCGACAATCGAACGAATCAAGGGTACGATAAAAAAAGGTGAAACTAGTTACAGCTACGTCATAAATCCATTTATCTCGACGCGAGGCGGTATATCGTTTGGTTGCAGATCGCAAAAGGCAGCCATCATAAATATAAATCGGTCGCGGCGATGTCGGATCTTTTGTTGACGTACGAGCATTAAAAATGCATAGAATAATAAGGACGGTCGCGTCTTTTTGCATTCGAAACTAGCTGGCACGGCGGTCGACAAATTGCGCGGGAACATTTTACATGTAAATAGGCGGAAGGAAGGAATTAGGGCTGGGACCGTGATCGAAGCGCTCGGATAACACAATGAGACTATAAAATTCTGATCTATTTGCATTTTAATCGGCGAACCGTAGAAACTGGGTCACAATTTTTCACGGAAAAATAAATTGGAGGTCCGCGCTCCTGGTCGGATGAAATACCGTTTCGTTTGTTGTACAGGGCGAGGTCTACAAAGGGATACTGCGAGGGAATATTGTAACGCAATTCTCGGAACCTGGTCGAATAGAGGTGCTAGGCGTGTCTATGATAGCTCCATGTAGAATTCTGGAAATTCGGAATTCTAAATTAACCTACTCACACGGTTCCAATATATCTGGCAATATACCAGTCCATTGATTGTCCTCTCCGAGCAACTCGTTCGAGTTCCAAAGCTAAATTCTCGACCCATACCTCGCGTAATGATAGTGGACAGCCTTGGCGTGGAAGTATTTTAACGCATTGCTTGAAAACTAGTCGAATGGATTGTTAGACAATTTTGAAAGTATAGAATCCTGAATCTCAGCTAGAATCTGAACGAATCATAAATAAAGCCAGAGTTATAAATTAACTCAGTCGATCGTCTCGAATATATCTGACAACATCCCGAGTCCATTGATTTTTCCTTAGAGTAACTCGATTCCTAGACAATTTTGAAAGTATAGAATCCTGAATATCAGTTAGAATCCTGAATCTCAGCTAGAATCTGAACAAATCATAGTTAAAACATGGTCTAGGAAGCTCTTAGAGCAACCTGTCCAAACATCAAGCTTCCCAACTAGTCGACATCCGCACTTATCGAACATTATGCGAGTCCCTGTTCTCGTCACAACGAGAACATTTCAATGGTTAACGATCGCTGGACAAGGGGAGCTAAAAAAAAAAAGAATTTTTTAAGCTTTTTCGCCGCCCGGAACGGAACCGCGACGCGTGCAAAATTAACGACGCAGTAACGACAGAGCCTCGTTTATTCTCCCGTGGCTCGTTTCCCACATTTTCGAGCCTCGAATTTCAAATTGTACCGATTTATTTTTTCCCGGTTTTTTATCTTTCGTCCGCGGTTCGCGTCGACCACTGTCCTCCACCGGTGGACGCGGTTCGTGACGAAACACAGCTTCCGGAGTCGGTGGACGAAGAGACCGCGTTTCTTGAAATTCCCCGAGCGACTTTACGGGAAATCTAATTATAGGGATAGTCTTGCCGACGTCGTGGCACCCTCCCCACCAGAGGCTGACTTATCCCGTGGACGACGAGGTAATCCACTAATCCAGCTAACAAACTCGCAACGTCCAACCCTTGTTACCCCCCAGGACGAATACGTTGCTCTCTTAAATGAACTTCTTTTCTCGGTTATCGGCGGAGGGACAGGGGATAGAATTACCCTCCCGACCAGTCCGAATTTATAGACTGATCCCTGGACGGGTCCCCGTCGACTCGTATTTTCGTCGTGTGCCGCCGAGTCGCTCGGAACGGGATAAGTAACCGACGACGGAGCTTAGCGCGTCAGATTCTTGGTCCTCCGGGGCAGAGGTAGGCGTTGAGACGACGAGGAATTTATTCGGTGTCAAGTGTCTGCGGTTATGCGCCAGAAATTGTACTGTACCTCCAGGCGTCTACTTCGGTGACGAGCTGGGACCCGTCTTAGTACTGAGAGTCTATATCTGAAGCATCTATATCTGAAATTTCTTAGTACAGAGAGCTTGTGAAGGGGTTGGTACTCTAGGCTAGAGGTGTGTAAGTGTCCTACAAATATTGAGATATCATTTCTCTCTTCGAGACACCGAGAATGGGTCTTAAAGTTCAACTCTAGCCTCCTATAGTATCGATGACGTTCCTTCTTCGGTCCGCTTGGCGCCACAGGAGTGATTTAGATTGTTTAAGGTCCGCGTA